TAGTGTTTGAAATAAAATTTTAATTCCTCATTTTTTTTTTTTTTCGTGAACATTGTTAGTTCATAAAATTGGTAATATTTTCACTTTAAACTCAAAACAAACTGAGTAATCTGCTCAGAGTACATTTGAAAATGGGTTGATCGATCATTTTTAAGTTTTAAATTTCCCTCTACGAGTCATCCAAAGGCGAGGCCCATGAGACTCATTCTAATCGAATATATATAAAAAAAGACGACGTTTTTATTTTTGTTTTTGATTTTAATATATTTATACGGGATGATAAATCTATCGTAAGACGCTAATTAGCTCGTGGTTCATTCATACGCATGTTAATATATTATTTTCGTATAATACAAGTCGCCATCCCATTATAAGTATTTAAGCAGTCAGCTTATTTTACTTTTTTAAATTAAATATTTTTTATTACGTATTCTTTTTCCAAAAAATATTTATCTGAAAAATTTCGAATATGTAGCGTTGTTGATATGGTAATATAACTTGTGTAAGTCACATACATCGAAGCGTCGAAGTTTGAATTAATTTGATGTCAAGCGAATGACGAACTCACATCAAATACTGTGTTGTACGCGTAGTCTATGTGTGGACAAAAAGGGAGAATAGTTGATACTTGATATATTTTTAACCTCCCACTGACTTCATTATTTAAAGACAAACGAAAAACTACAGCTCACGTAAACGTACGAAATTTAATAGAACGTATAGGGGCACTTTGAAACTAAGCAAATTACTGAGCTCGCTGTAAAGTTTTGAGAACAATAATACAAATTAACTGACTGTGCTGAAATTAGGTATCAAATCAATCATAGATTAAGACATTGAAAAATGTCTCAGAGAGGTGTTATATATATATATTATATTTAATTAACTGTAATAATAAATATCGTCGGCGGAGCCAATGTCCGGTGTTAAATATTATCACCTATCATTATTTTACAACGAAAATAATTATTATTCCATACACATTATCATAGGTGTTTCGTCTAACGCGTTTTTCTATTAGATTTAATAGATACAATTTTTGTCGGTAGATTGGTTTCGAATAATGGTGAGAAACATGTTGGCACCGACCAAAAAGAACTTGCGACGCTCACGCCCTGCAATACTTCATAGAACCATTGATTTATTTTTATCATTATTGTTTGAAAGACATTTTTGATAGTAAATTAACGTTCGCATTGACCGAGAATCTCGTTTCTCGAAAGAGGGTACCATTTAGATTCGTGGATACACCTAAACATATAAGTGCTAATAGTTGATTTACAAACAATACCGATGTGAAAATACAGTTTCGAACTTTTAATCATAATAATATCGCAATTGTTACTTATTTTCATTCAGCTACGCCGAAATAAACGTTTATTTAAGACAAAAGGTAACACTTGGTGTTCTTTTAATGTATGATAAGAACTATAGTCACTGTTGGGATTATATAGGTTTTTTTATCTAGTTAAGGATAAAGATAATATAACAAAAATCCATCTAGGTACAGATAAAAGATAACAACTTTTTTACCTGGATAAAAAAAAGATAAATTATTTAATTCAATGAAATCGAACTTTATGAAAGTACACCTTAGCTACTATTTGAATTTGATTTAAAAACAGGTATTATATTTAAATTAATTATTTTTAATCGTATAGTTTATTAATAAGTCACTTTATAGTATTATTATTGTTCAAGGAACAATGCATAAAACATAAATGTATGCTTCATTAGGTAAAATTTGAAATAATTCGAAACATATAAAAATTGATAATTGATTGGTGAAACAGTGGAGAATCTAACGATATTCAATAATGTGACAATAATATCCATGTGTCACATATATATTTTAACATCGTCTTTATTTTTGCTGAATGCCAAGTGCGTGCTACGGAATTTGATTTTTACTTATTTAATACTATAGACAATTTTAGGTTCCCTTACAAAAAAGATCAATGATAAATGATATAATTACCCATGTTTAAAACAATTTTTTTAAATGGGATTATTTTTGTAGAATCGAATAAAAAATGCTATTTTTAGACACCGATTTATCAAAATAGGTGAGTTTTTTATTTAGATAACTTAGCTACAGCTATTTATTTAGATAAGTCTAAACACAGATTACAGTGTTCATGAAAAATTATTGAAATTCTTAATTTCATGTGATTTCGTAAAAAAATATATTTGATAAGCAAATGGTAAAAGTAAAAATATTGCAAAACTTGTCATTTATTGTTTCAAATGGAAAATGTTTGTAAAATCCTATTTTACAGTTCCTTTTTAAAATTAATATACTAGTTTACTACACTCGTTTTGATTTTCATATTTTATAACTTAATGGATGGTTAAAAGCAACTAAACTATTCCTATATTCTTATAATATACTGGATATATTGTTTAGTTTAACTTTACATTGTAATATATAATATTACATATATTGTTCGAATAAATAACATTTTGTATAATGAATTAGAAAATAATTTTAAACACACTATTGGTATGAGATGGCCATTCTTTTGATGACGTCTGGTCGTTTGGGTTAAGATTAAATCTTGAGTGGATACAATCTTACTGACAAAAACGTCTTTCAATAATTTGAATCACGTATGCACTTAACATTGCTTATCATTCTGAGGATAAATGTAACGAGCAAAGAGGGAAATCCAAGTACTATACACCTTCCTAAGAAGTTCTACATTATGATTACCGAATTATGCTTAATGCAAATTGAAAATTGTATAAACTGCATCACAAATTAGTAAAAATACACTTCTTAATTAATTTTTCCTGGTACATGTATATTGAATTTATAATAATGAAAATTATCTTGTAAATTGTACTAGTTATATTTTGATGAAGTAATAGTATAATAAATAAAATCACATGGATTACTAATTTTATAATTTATTTATTGCATTTGTCGTTTATTAGTAATTGTTTAAATTATAAATTGCAATATCTATAAATGTGATATATTTAAAAAAATCAATAATACAGCAGTAGTAAATAACATTTTTTAAAATATTAAAATAAAATGTTTTAACCGATGACATTAATAAATATTTAATTTCTTAATGTTAATTAGGATACAAGTAATATATTTTATGTATTTCTTTTAATTTATTAAAACTTCAGCTAAATGATAATAAACATGATAAATGTTCGATACAATAATTGTTTATGATTATTAAATAATATTAATTCTACACAAGTGACAATTTTAAATTCGAACGTATGTGATTGATGAGTTGTTTTGCACTAAAAAATCATTCAAACTAATAGTACAATATTATTAATGCGTTTTTTATACTAAACAAGTAATTATTGAGAATTTTACACACTTTGGTCAAATTATTTATAATATAATAATAAGTATCATACAAAACGACCAATTAAATCATATGTTTGGCTAGTTTATACTAAAATATACCATACTTACCGCGTTAAAAATTAAATTTCCTATATTAAAAACACTGCTCTTTTTATTTATTATAATTATTATTTTTTTTTTTTTTAGATTTAGATTTTATAGATTGTTCTGACGATAGAAACATTATTTACAGTTATACTAAAGTCTTCTTAAATTCAATTCAACTGGAAATATATTTATTTTAGTGTAAGTCATATACGAATCTTGTTGCGCAGGTATATCCTGTAAGCTTAAATAAGTTCTAACGATGTGTGTATGAAATAAATTATTATATTTGTGTTATAAGCATGGCACGGGCGATAAACTGACCCCGTAATGAGAGCAAGGATTGATTTACGTACACACGAGAACATTTTCTGGAGTCTAAAGGGAACAAAACGCATTGTCTAGTCCAACATTTTCGACAAAAACAACTGTCTGTTGCGGTACGAGGTATGGGATCAGTTTTATCGCGAAATACAAACGCTCTGAACAAACTGAACAAAGATCAAAATAAAAGTGCACACGAAATGTTTGTAAAAAAAAAAAAAAACCAATAACTCGTATCACGCTGATGATCGTCGATGTATTTTTATAAAAAAAAAAAACCACTCACGTGAAGAGATTTTTTCGGGTGGACATAGAATGAGCGAGCAACTGACTGAATCGTTTTACAGATGACTAAGAAGTAAAAAAAAAAAATTTATTTATTTCTCCAGCGTTATTACGTTTTTACATCTCGTCCCGGAAAAACTTCACATGATAAATTCTTACGCTGTACAAGGCCTTTGTGCATCGTCGTGGCTTTTGGATTTAAAATCAAAACTAAATTTGCAATTCAAATAATCGTCAGTCACTCAGCAACTATATACCGCATCATAGCATATAGTTTTTTTAACGAAACTACTAGGACGGTTTAAAGTAAAATGTATATAAGTCAGTTGCCCGGTATAATAAAACGTATACGGTCCATACGGTGAGTACACTTACATCTAACACGTACAGTATAGAATATTATTGATATATATATATATATAATATCTATCGATTCTTACGGTCTGTTTAATTGTAAAGAATAATAAGATTTTTATGATGAAATTCCTCTCCGACTTATCTGCCGAGAAAATAAAGGAATTTAATAGTTATGAATACCTACAATAGAAATTAAAATAGCTATAAAGACTATGGCTAGAAAGCAGAATCTGAGTTGCTTGGTACCATGTACAGAATGCGATATCGATCGTAGATACTTACATAAAAAGTATGGTGTTTCATTTTGACCGTAATTGGTGTTCGATTGATCGAGTTAGAAAGTACAACAAATTGATGAACAGAAAAAGCACACTTGATCAACTATAAAATTATCGTCCCTGAGTGTAACCTGTGGAGTAAAATAAAAAATAAATAAGCAGAGAAAAAAAAAATATGTATATATGTGCATTAGATAGCAATGATTGGACGAGGGGGTGTGCCAGAGGGTGTGTGGGAGAGAGACGTGTTTGATTTTACAAAGTCTCGTCCGCGGCGCAGGGACCGGTGGCGCATATAAAACCCTTACCGTTGTGTCGCTAGCGTCCTATTCTGTATTTGGCTATCGCACCATACCATCCCTTCTGAACGTAAGTACATTGCATACGTAATTTGATGTTAGGATTTTTTTTGTACATTTATATATTGTATCAGATGATTTGATTTAAATATTTTTCGCTTACACATTTATTTGAATGAAAATTTGTTTATTTTTTTTTAACAATAAAAAAATTAATAACGTGATGCATGCAATTATCCGTTATTATATTGTTTTATTTGATATATATATATATATATATATATATATAAAACTCTGGTCATATTTTAATTTTTAATGTTTGTTATTTAAATTTACCAATAAAAATTTAAACAAAAATAAGTATTATTTTGAGGTACAATTAATATTGATTATCTACACAATTTTTTTTATATAATAGTAATTAAATATTTAATAAATAATGTAGGTATGTCGAAAAAACATAGATAATTTTTTAAATATTCCAATCGAAATTAATAATTTGTTAAAATACAGTTGTTTATTGAAATTAAAAATATTTAATATAAAAATAGGGGTAGATGTTTTAAATATAAATATAATTTAAATATGTTAAAAAATACGCTAATTTTCTTAAAATAATATACGTACATTTATTTTTTTTTTTTGTAACTGAACCATAACTGTAAATAAAATTAAAACAGAGTTATGTTAGCGCAGCTCACAAAAGTATTTAAACTGTGAATTATTTCAAGTAAAACGTCCTGTAAATGGCTTTACTAATAACAATTACAAATAGTTTACTAACACGATCGATTAAATTCAGTTTTCGCTAATTTTAAACCGTTTTGCATAATCTTTTTGTATAATTCACGTTGTACATATAGGCGATACAATATATAGGGAGAACTAGGATTATATAGAATTTGGTGCTTCTGTTTCGCAGATTTATAGCGTATCAGCAGGCGAGTAAGTACTGATTAGTTTTTAGGGAGTTACATTAGATAGAAAAAAAGTTTAAAAAAAGAAAATGATAAATTCTGTTATAATGCGTCTGGATTTCTATAGGTTTTTCGCATTTAAATATTAATAAATAATTAATATAAGTAGTTTAATTATACTTGTTGGAAGATGTTACATCACTTCCACGAATATAATAATTTTTTTCACTTATAATATTTTTAACGCTGTTAATATTTGAGTTGTTATTATCATTATATCTTAAAAATTAAAAAAAAAAAAAAATGAATGAAAAACAAATTAACTATTATTAATTTCATCATATCTTAAAATTATGTGTTGTATTCAATATGTAATTATATAATTATATTGTAGTTTATACTTTTTCACTTTTACTGAAACTTATTTCCAGAAAAGAGAAAAATACGAACTTATCTTACGGTATAATATAATGGCGAGATTGAAATCATGGTTAAAATATTATAAAGATAAATAAAAGTGAATTTATGCTTTCGAACGCGTTACAGTTATAATCTGAAAAATATTTTGATAGAAGTAAATAATTTTTACTATTAATTATATTTTTAAAGAATTTTTTTTTTTTTTATACAAATTCAACATTAGGGATAGATTAGTGATATGCAATTTGTGTATGTGAAATACATAAAAGGTTTAACTATTCAACTACGAGTGTATAGTTTTGTTTTATGTGATTATGTGTTTCAATGTTTTGAATGATATATTTGTAAATGTTTATAAAATATGCGTACTTATTTATTTTACATTTCATACGTTAACAAATATTTTATAATATAAATTCAAATCGAATCGGTACTTTCAATTTTTTCTTCGTATCTATGTGCTGTAAAATAAATTACTCCCAGACGATTTAAAAAATTAATTACAAATAAAATACGGCCAACTCAAAACCAAATGTATGATTATGTTAGATATTTAGGCAGAGTTTGAGGGTTTTACATAAAAACAACCTTGGCTCTGTCATATTTCGGATCGTACATATTAGGTATATGTAGTAAGTTTAGATTTATATTTGTCAATAAACATAGATTAATATCGATATCGAGGGGATTGCCCTAGGATTGTTGTAGTGTTAATGCGCAAAACAGATTATAGATGGACATGTATGTAGGCTTGTTTCGAAAGGGCTTATTAAAAGTCCAAAGCTATTATTGGCCAAACAAAGCTATTTTAATCATTATAACTATTATATTAACAACTGTGTTCAATGGTCTATCACAAATTATGTGGAGCGATTACCCATTATTTTTTTTTTTACTTATTATTATTCACTAAGTAAATAATAATACATTAGTACATAATAAAATATTAGTTTTTTGTTCTTTTTAGTGATTTTATGTTCCGCAAAACCTTGTAATATTTGTTATTTAGAAATAACATAGGTATTTACGTCAAGAATAACTTTATACTTTTTTTTTTAAATTTTTAAAATTAAGATATTAATAACAGTAAAATAAACGATTTTAACTATCGTATGACCGTTTCAATAACTATGACCATCATTAAAACATAATCCGTAATAATCAACAAAATAGGTTACGTAAATCATGTGTGTATTACTTCAAATGATGGATTGCATACAAACTGTATATAATTAAATAAAGTTTAGGGAAAAACCATAATATTTGGCGTACAGTGTCGTCTTATAATGTCGAAAACGTTTATTTCGTATTACAACTTTCAAATGACGGCAATCTCATGAATACGAAGTAAAAGTATATTATCTCAACGCTTATTAAAGTTAAAAACACGCAAATTCTAATTGTTTCCTTTATATGAATGTGTGTATTATATACTTGTTTAAACATAGTCGTGATAAAGCTTTTTATTTTTGTTTTAAAACGGATTTAAATAACTTAATAAGCATGAATGTTTGAGAAAAAAATGTATTAACACAGTTTCAGTTAACCGCTTACGCTGAAGATTATAACATTTTACCGTTTATAATAATCCCTTTTGTTTTCTATATGTATACATACGCGCACGCTAAAAGAAAATCCAACCAGAAACTACCTTACCTCATTAATAACATGATAGCTTGAGATTTGAATCATTTATTACTAAATACCAAGGCGAGCGTGGAAATTATTTAAAAGGGTCTATGAACATTTGGAATGAAGCTAATATTAAACTGTATATAAGCCTAGTTACCTTATTGTTAATCATTGATCGTAATACAATATATACAATAAGTACAATTAATATATTTGATATTGATTGGTATTTTCTTAAATTTGATTTAGTTTTAATGTTAAATATAAACAAAATAAAAAAAATTTAAATAAAATCCTCTTGTAATCAAATTTACTTATTGTGCAGAATAAATATTATAAGTATTTGTTAATAAGGAAAAAATTAAAACATATACACTTAAATTTAATAAACTTTATCTTTAACGTTAATTTCGAATAACATCACGTAATGAAATTGCTCTATAATATTTGGCACCAGTAGAGCTTAAAAGATGTTCACGATGACCGAGCTTTTTCATTTATTTCGTTTCTTTATTAACCGTTTTACACGAAAAATGTTTTAAATTTTATATATAATTTTATACTTGGATAATCGGTGAATCAAAAAATTACTATGAGAGTTCTATTATTCCGAGAAGAGTATCTATCGTGCTTTTGCCAACTATAAATTCTACTTAAAGTTAATTATACTGTTTATCTAAACATAAACAAGCTACGTTTGCTATTTACTTAATAGATTAAGTGTATATTAAGTACTATCTAATGAACACACTTCTTTGATGATTAGTTACTTGAAATAAAGACTATGATACTGAACAAATGATTTATTGTAACGAGCATTGATGACTTTATTTAAGTTGTAGCCAATAAATAACTAAAAATATATACTCTTTACAAATAAAACGTGGTTTAAAATTGATTTTCACAATAATTGTGAATTATAATTATTATATATAAGTATAATTATTATACTAGGTGATGAAAAAATTTGTATTAATATTTTTACTATAGTTTGATTCATCAAATTTAACATTTTTTAATCTATTGTGACTTAGTTGCCGTTTAAGTTGTTATTATATAACTATTTTAATTATAAAGTAAATAAAAAACGACCTAATGACATTTTGTGCTTGGAATTTATAATTTTATTTTTGTTATTAAGTAAAACTTTTTAGTTTAAAGATAAATTTATAAACATGTATTGTGTTTTTAATTACAACGTACAATTTTGGTATAATTATTTAAACAACAAACATTAGCTAATAATCTTAAAAAATAACCAAATACAATTATGAGGAAATAAATTATTAATAATTAATATTTAAATCAATGATAAAAATACAAAATTGAATTTAAATATTAACCTTCGATTTCATAATAAAATATTTGTTGAATCAATAAGTTATATTTTCAACTCACTCTCACACGACCACGAACGAAGGTAGTTACGTACTTTTTTATCGTGTTCTTCAATGTACGATTTACAAAATCTACTGCACGAATAAAATCATATATTTATACACATATAGATGGTATGTTAGTCTATAGTTGATATTGTATTACTAAAAATAGAAAATAAATAATAACAATTAATTTAAAAAAGGAAGAAACTCCTTGGTCGAGTGAGATATAAGGATGTGTGAGTGATATTGCTAAAATGGTATTTTAAATTTGAAACCAATGTATTATTGCTCTTAAAAAAACGATTCCTAGTCAAAGAGGTAGTATGGATCATTTTATATTTTTATAAATGATTGATATAGTATAAAAACCAAATTCTTAATAAGATCGGTTGAACATCGAATGGTCTATCTTTTACTAAAAAAAGGGTAACTAAAATTTTGGAACTTCGAAAATTTCAAGTGTCTTTAAACAGCGTAAATTTCATTAAATTTTTTTAAAATTATGATATGTCTTTAAATTGCTAATATAAGTACTCGGTAAATACGAATAAATACGATTACTTTTATAGAATTACAACCAAATAACTAACATCGCCTAATCGAAATTCATTGAAATATTCGATTTCATTGACATTTCATTTTTTAACAATTAAAACTATTACATTTTTCCATCCAATAGCATTTCATGGAGTTTTAAGCATTATAAAATAAAAAGCCAATCAAATATTTCGTATAAAATATTCCATTTTATAGGAATAAATTTGAATTTTACAATTAAATAACAAACGAAAAATAAATAATAAATATATATTGTTTTATGTTCCGATTTACTTCAGCTTACACTGATTATTCTAAAGTAAATAGAATTGGAAAACGTTCATATATAAACATTTAAATTTTACACAAAAATACCAGTACATTTTGCGCCGGTATTCAATCACACGCATTATTTATGTATAAAATTTATTTTTATTTTTACGAAACTCGTCCTTTAACTAAGATGTAATTAAATTATACAAAACAAAACTTTTATCGTATTCAAATCTTCAAGATCTACCAATTTGGTCTGCGCATTACATCCGTAATGATAATATAATAGAAGCGTTATTTTAAGAAAGAAAAAAAATTAGTTTTCAATTACCGCTATTGATCCGGTATAGGTTGGTACGCTTTTACACTTGTACAGACACGTGAAAACACGGTCGTTCAAATCGTACGTGAAAGTTAATGTAAAATCTGCATGCCGCCAATCATGGCTTATGAGGATATCATTAAGGATATCATTAAGGATATCGTTAAAGTGTGATTCTTGTGCATTGGTGTACGCAGACATGTATAAGTAAATACGTATTTCGGGAGGTGCCTACAATCATCGGCGGGGCGGGATGCGGATTTCATTGAAGCAGCCACTTTATGATTGAAATGGGGTTAGGGTAATTTGAAATAGAGGTGTTGTGTGACAGAAAATATTAATACACAATTTGCACATTTGACATACAATATTATAATACATTGTTTTGTTTGGACTTCTTTATTTTAATGAATTTTAATAATTTTAATAGAGTGGGTACTTGATAGACGTAACTGCTTCATTGGAAAATAAACTTCGCGTCGCCACTGCCCACAATACTTTTGGGCCCTAACATAACAAAACGTGTAAGTATATTTAATAAACAATTAATTAAAATATAAATTTAATTTGTTATCTAACATCTGTGACTCCAACGAATAAGTTCTACTTGAATCTTGTATATTTTTCTCGGATAGCTTCGGTTGTTTATTATTTATGCTTTAGTAATCAATCTTTGCTGTTTAATTATCATAAATAGTTTTCACATAAAAATTCAGAACATTTTATTTTGTTTTTTCTATCACGAAATATTATTTTTATTTTTCATCAAAAATTTTAGAATAAATTACGTTTAATATGAATAACATCACTTAAAATACAGGCCCCTTACCTAACCTTACCTAATCTCACCTTTAGATTTAAATCTTAGGGCCTCATTTTCAACCTCATTTGGGGGAACGACCGGACACACTTGGACCCCCCTCTCCCCGTACTCGGGCCACTGTTCTTATGCACAGTCTCAATTCAAATTTCAACCGCCCAGTCGATTTTTCGGTCGCACAGTCTGGTTACGGATATTCGTGAACGCGATTTACTGTGTACGTAGAGCCGGATCGTAGCGAACCTTTTAATGAAAACTAGCCCTCTGTTAAACAACAAGTTTACTTTATTTTGTTTTTTTTTTTTATTTTGTAACGGTTTTAAAATGTTTGAACATAAGCTAAATATTAATCCAACTTTTACAAGAAAAATTGTTTAAAAATTAATTTTTTGCTCTATTTTTTTAGCTTCCAGCAAACGTTTTTACTGTTGATGCCGTGTTAATTTTAAAAAGTACCAATCGCAAGTCACCTCCATATTGCTTTTTTTTTCAAATTTGTATTATTTATTATTTGTATCATACTCGATTATTACATATATGAATTTTTCTCCTACTATAAAAGTTATTGATTCGAAATGCTTTGAGTTTTGATAACCGTAATGTTTTCTAATATTTTTGTAATTTGAACATTTCATTGACCATTCGTTGCACAAGACAAACATTAGTAATATTAGAAACTAAAATAAACGTTTTTCTTATAATGCTTAGTGAAAGTGAAGTATGATAATCCACTGTGTAGAATTATTACCTGGACCAAATTATTCACTTAGTAATTTACAGTATTAAGCTCATTGACCGTTAATACTCAGATATTTTAGAATAACGAATAAACTGATATGAATATACGAGTAAACCAACGGAAATATGAACAGGTATTAATGGTATTTTACACTTCTGAAAGAGTTCTAGAACAGTTGATCATAGTTAACAAGGAGTGTGTTGTTTCATCATTAAATATCTTTTAATTTAAGATCTTAAGTAAATAGAAACACTATTATATATTTATAGGATCGAGTGCCATTCATCTACACTCATTTAAATTATAATACGGTTATGTTTACTCCGTTTATCTCGGGATAAAAATTCTCAGTACTTTTTATATACCTAACCAATAAAATATAATAATATGTGATCATATTGTATTAGTCTTTAAAATGTTTGTTGATTTTTAGTGAGTACATAAGGATAATTTACCGTCGTTTCGAATAAAACTTTGTTAATAAAACTAAAACAAGAGACATAAGTACACGAGTAAACACCGTAGAACAGTGTCGGCACATCCAATAAATAAAAAGATTATTTAATTGTGAATTCGATTAAAATTCCATATTATATTCCAGAAATCTTTATATAGATGGTGAAACTTTGAAATGTTTAGTAATTGTTATCTACGTTTTTGTGAAAGATTTGTAGGTATACAAATCCATAAATAAATCTATTATGTAGGTTAAAAGTACTCACCTACCAACTAAAGCGAAAGATGTCCACGTACAAACCTATTTCTTTAAACTGAATAATCCGTTTTAATTGTTTATATTATTTTTTATTTTTGGTTAGTAATTTTAATAGCTTATTATTTAATCTTGAATGTTCTGCATTTTAATGTTGGTATAATAATCAAATCATAACCAGATATACTCTGGATAATATGACAAGAGAAAAAATAAATAATAATTTAAAGTTACACGATAACAATTGAACGAGACTACAATATAATAGCATAAAAGCGTGGCTATATAATGCAAAATTAATAAAGAATTGATCAGATAAAACGGTTAGATCAAAATTAGATTTGTTTAATGAACTGCATTATACGCAATTGGCTTATAAGACGACAGCTGCTGTAGTATTGAATACGCATTTTTTGCGTAAGCTTATCGATTGAATACGATTTTTTTTTTTACACAGTCTGCATAAATTAAATAATTTATAAGTATTTAATTTTAATGATAATATCATGACTATTATGATTTTATGCTGAGATTAACTTGAACGCCAAAGTTCATATGAACATATAAAAATAAATTGAATTGGTACTTGTACGTTTACTTTGTGGTAATATTTACTTTATACTTACTTAAATATATTTACAATGAACTTAATAAACCTATTAAAATGTATAAAAATAAAATATGTAAGAAAATAAATCAAAGTTTTCAAGTACCGCTGTTTTACAGATTCATAAGATTTCATATAAATGATCACACGGTATGCTTTTTGTATAACTTATATTGAATATTATCGAAAATCACCAAAGTACGAGTATACTATTGTGTATAATAATTTGTAAATCAATACTGATGTAAAATGTGTATATTGGTTCAGAAAATATATCAGTTTCGAACATTTTCCGAGGTCCGTATTATTAATTTTAAATCAACCGAATGACCAGAGTTCGCATTGGGTTATAATGCATTTTAATTGAACTGTTAAATCGTTTATTAAGTTTGTCGATTTGATTGACTATATAAAAAAATAATAACAATAAAAACTTAGCTAAAACCAGTGATAGATACAAAAAGTGGATCACTAAGGTGCATATTTTTAATTTTAATTTTGACGCGGTAAAGATTATCAAGCCGCGATATGCATATGTGGCAGTAACTTGTTTGTGCACATTCAACATTTTTTACTTGAAAATCGACGGTTCATTGGTGGACAACAAAACCTGTCGTTAACCTAAAAACAGATGACTCGTTTGCACACGACATACACACATGTATATATAATATATATACATATTTAAATTAATCATGGGTCACAGATTTCAGTAAAAATTATCAAATATTCGGAAAAATGCTAAACCGTAGTTTCATTCCCATGAAAGTAACAATTCAAATTAAGAACTTAAAATAATATTAGAGGATAATTTCGTCTAATTTTACGAGCTATGTGGCATTAAAAATCTATGTAACAAAAAGTAAAATAAAAAATAAAATAATCGGAGTAGTGTAACATCAATTTCCCCTTTAAAATATAAAATTTCTTTAATATTCATATTATTTTTTTTTTATCATAATTGTATAGTATTATTATTTTATTATATTATGTATTAACCCATCTGGCTGGCCGTTTCGTAAATAACAAAGAAATTTATATCAACCGGTTGAGACCGTATCGAAAGCGGAGTAGTTTGAAATATTTTTGATGAAGATAAGTGGAACCGGAGACCCCATGTTGCGATCTATATGAGGCGAGTTCACAGGATCGTCCATGAGGTTGGTTAAGATCATAGTAGTTATATGTCGTTGGTGCCATCAGTGGTGAATGAAGCAAAGCGTTTTTGTGCAATGTAGATTTTCGATTTTTGTAATTTTGATTGATAAGGTTAACAAATTTATTTTCATGGATTTTGGTGTATGTAACGAAGTGAGGCCAGTTTTCTAAGCGTTGTTTATTAAATTACGTTTTAAATTGAAACTAATAGATAACATTGACCATAATAATTATTAAGTACGCACAGTGGTAACGAAGCAAAAATAATACCAAACAATGCACGTGTGTTTTTGATGAAATTACGGTCGAACTGTGTTAATAAATTGAATAACATTATGAAGGTGACCAACATTCATAATTATGAAAAGTTTAATAAGTAAGCAATGACAAAATAAATCATCATAAAACCCTTAAAAGTAGTGCAGAAAATGATTTGTTCATGCGACCAAACAAATTAATAGTCTATGTTTGACCAAAACGATAAACTAATATTTTTATCGAATACTTGATAATCTGTACTGAAATCTGTGACCCATAACTAAATTAAATACGTATAAATGTGTGTGTATATGTGTCGTTTTACACAAACGAGTCAACTGTTTTTAGGTTAGTGATGGTTTTCGTTGTATGCAAACGAGTCGTCGATTTTCAGGTAAATAATTTTGAGTGTACGCAAACGAGTTGCTGGCATTAAAATGACAATTTTGAAAAACATGTATTTAAATACTTTAAAATTAGAAAATATCAAAACTATATGAAAATGGATATATAGTATATATTCTTCTCAATTAAATAATTTCAAATTTTAAATTATATTTTTGTAACACATGCCAGTATTAAATTATGACGTGGTAAATGTCACATTTATATTTCAATGATCAATTGTGAAAGAAAACTTAAGAATCATAAACTTATCAACACGTGTTTCAAACGTTATTTGTCCCACTATTATAATATATTGTATAGTTTTGTTTTGCATTTTTACAAATTATAAAAAAAATTTAAAAAATACTCGACAACGATACAGAAAGAGCTACTTTTTTTTTACTGTCTTATTTATAAAAAATAATAATTTTAATTGATTCGTTTAAATTTAATTGAACAGGTTATTTGACAGTCTTATAGACCATATAGTTTTTGTTATGATTTATAAGGTGGGGGAGTGTAGTTTGAACAGCTGGTCTTTTAAAAATAAATAATGAGCTATAAAAAAAAATGAAGTTTTGAAGAATTACCACGAAATATAATTTTTACACATTTGATGTTATTATAATAATATATTAAATATTATTATTTACTGTCATATTTTATACGGCGAAATAATGTTTTTAAATATATCTCCGTGGTGCAACTTGACAATGAAATTCATACTAAATTTTATTAAAGTCAATATATTTTAAGTAACGTTTTTACGAGTATTTAAAAGCTGCGTCAACTAGAATTTTACGAAACTATATATTTTAGCGAATTTTATTCCTACGTAGGTTAATAGTAAGTAAAATATGGTCCTGCGGTGGTCACACGTATGATGATTTTATACGTGTAAACGAATTCGATCAACCCATAAAGTTTAAGTCTTACAGTATCGCCTTAAACTTTAAGGCGATACCGTATCAAGTCCCGAGAGGCGATAACCAACATTTTTAATACACATGTTACCTATACGGATTGTGGTTCAATATGACATTGTTATTTTTCGTTTCATTCTCAATGTTCGAGGTTATTTCCGATTGAGCTGTAAAATCGTTAATAATATGAACAACGTAAACGCGTAATGTTGTTCGCGGCGAAAAGTATTAGAGGATCTGAATAATAACCCTCCACTGTCACGTCCGTTCAGGGTTGGTTTTGTAATGCTATACGTATAATATTATGTTTCTACTGTTTTCGTTGTGAACGTGTAGTGTTGAGAACTCGAGACATAAAAGGCAAATCTTATTTATCGCGTCCTAGTCGGAACGAGAATATTCCGGAATTCTAATGAATTTAAGTCGAATCACCATGAATAAATATCAGCTATTAATTGCACGGGACATGGAATAAAAATCCGTGGTTGTAGTTTTTAAACACGTCGCATCGTATGTAAAATATTAGCTTTGAGACAAAGCTGGTTTTATACATACGCACATCCAATTAAATATCTGAACGCAAAGATGATTATTATACTTAAATTTATGCTGTTCACGGATTAATTTTCGACTGCACAGTCAAAGCACTCCGTGTTAATATATATACATAGTGTATCTTTTTGAATAAAGTCATAACCTGAACAGGTACTGTAAAGCGGGCAATAATATGTGTTATGCATGTAATGGTTTACCATATTTCTAGACCAAAATATTTTACAATTGAAATTATTCGATGATAACATAATTAGCATTCAAACTAGCACTGCGGTATTTGACGCTATATAATTACATTTCTCCCGATTATAATGATACCGAATTTCCCCCAACTCAAGAGGATACAACCATGTGTCACATTAACCACTCTAAGCGTCGGCTTATTGTTTCTGATGGATTATATTTGTGACACGGGTAATTTTGTAACATCATAAAGTACACACCGACGGGCATTCAGTACAGTGTTACAGTTTATATTGACTTATTACAATGGTACCTATACGATAACATATTGATCTTATAATACACGATATGAACAACAACTTTCTACTCTATTGTTAAAAACTAGTTACTTTCAAAGTCGAATGCAAACGATTACAGCCACTTCTGGTGGATGCGCCCACGTTGATGGTACCAATTTTACCGATGGAATGGGGTTTCTGTATAAAATAATGAAATCAATGACGATGATAATGAACTAGGTAACGGAAATAATGATAATATTATTATCTACGTGACAAGGGTTTCGATAAGTGTTTTTTTGAAACGGTTATCAGTGTTAAATTAATTTCAAAGCGTATTAAATTGAAATGTTCATAAAAACTACTATTTAAGTATTAATTACTTAATTGTTACTAGTACTGTAGACATTCTTCGTTGTATTGTACTCTTTGTTCAAGCATATAGTTAGTTAGATTAAAAGGTGTTATGTTCAAAAATAATACATATATATATATAACTTACCAATGATTTACTTGACTATGAGACAGTGCTGGATCTTGGGGGTAGGGCAAGTGGATATGCTTCTCTCAGGCGCTATCGATATAAGAGTGTTCTTAAGCTTATGAAAAATAGAAAAAAGTCATGAATGTATCCCGTACTTTCATCTAAGTAAGAGCGTTGTATTTTTATTGGCCTTGGGCGTTAAATTTCCTAGATACGGCACAACTATGACTAATTAAACTTGATTCAAATGTTATGTTTAATTATGACCATTTGCAGAATTTATATACATATATGATTGATAATTAATTAAATCTGGGGATTTTGTAAATGCATATTTGTCACAGGTTTTTATATCCACTGCTCGCAGACTGTTCGTATCACTTGAAAATAACTAAAAAAAAGTATTTAAAAAACAATTTATGTATGTGCATTTTGTTATTTTTCTATTATAACATTTTAGCTAAATAGACTGAATAGCAACATAGAAACTTTTTGGATAGTCTCTGATAAAATATTTATTTATTTTTCTGTATGCGTTATGTAAATTGTTGCTAGTATAACAAATACAATTAATAATAAATTTAATTAATTAATAATAAAATATGTTTATTTTTAATAATTTTGAAAATTGTGTAGGTAGTACATTTTGATTAATTCTTTGTAAACAAATTACAAGTTTCATAATTTTTTAATTATGTATCATAGATGATAAACAAGTATTTTAAATTAATCTTATATATGAACAATTGAATAAAAATTATTTGATGATATTAAACTAGTCACAGTGAATTAAATAAAATGTTTAGCCACTTTGACATATTTACTTTTCTTGAAAATGTATTCTAGTATGAGTTATTTGACATTATCTTTTTCTTAATAATAATAGAATAATGTGGCGGGATTTATTTTAAATTAATTAATATATTTTGATATGAGTAAAACGTTTTCTATCCAACAGTTAAAGTAATCAAATATTACTATAGTAAACGTTTTTTTTTAAACATGTTTGTATAGAATTTATTTCCTTATTAATTTATTTGTATTTTGTATAAAATTAATAATTATATTAATTATATTTATATCAAATAAATGTATTGAGTTAATGGAAAACTAATTAAACTTTATATTAGGAAAGCTAATTCTAATGTTCAAACAATATTATCAAGAAAGAGAACAATTTATATACGAGTAGTTCACTTCAGTAGGACTATGTAGATCCGAATAAAACATGAATACGTTATTACATTAGTATTTATACGAGTACTCTACTTTAAAGTTTTGATAATTCACTGCCTACATATTTAATGAAATAATTCAATATGGCCCATAATATATGATTAGAAGGAGTTTTAAGTTGGCAATTTATTCACATTCACCTTCATCGTTTTGCATAGTTATGCGTTTATATTAAATATTTATTTAATTATTGTAAACAACTGTTTGTTAAATATTTGTCTACCTTTTTAAATTTTAAATCATGATATTTTTTCTATTATAGAATAATTTCATCATTATTGATTTTAGTCAATAATAGAATGGGTACTTATTAAAAAATATAAATTGTTTGCCAATTTAAAAACACAAATTATAAAGTATAACGTATTAAAACATTAACTGTTGTGCTACAATAAACACGTGCTTAAATAATTATTATGGGAAAACGTGTTATTTGACAATACTATTAGTAGAACATATTATATTATCCAAACAAGTTTATTTAGTTTAATTAAAACTTTATTAGGAACTTCTTAGATCAAATAACTTAGTTTTTTTTAAACTTTATTGCCTTTCAAGGTGTACCTATGTACATAAATTTCATACTTTATAATAATAAGCAGGTAGCTACTCTAACAGTATTTTTTTTTTCATTGCCTGGTTGTTTATATCTCACCTGAATATTACGATAGATTTTACTTTCGCAAATCATTAAAACCACGTATTATTCTATACTTGCTAATTACATGCACTTTTGTTCTATTTTTTTCAGAATTATTACTAAGTAACGTTGACGGAATGACGATGAATCAAACTGCAATGGTTGTGTGCATTCTTTGTTCAACATTTTTGTTAACAATACTGGATGGTACAATTGCATCAGATAAATTCTTCCAAACCGGTGGCCGTTTCGGTAAAAGATACAACGAACATATATTAGGTACGAAAAGTATGTATATGCCATTATAATTAATACTTTTTTACTGAAACATAAAGACTTTTTTTAGCAAAATATTCTACTAATGATGTTATATACTTTGGTATTTATGTCACCAAATAGTTTAACGTTGGGTATATATCTTCTGTATATTAAGGCTCTCTAGTTTTATTCGTTGAATAAAATATTATAAGTAGAAAAAAAATCTTTATCTGAAACTAGATAGCGCTTCAAATATCGCGATCATAACGTAAACACTATATCACGGTCGCCGGCCTAATCAACGATTATTTTATTTTATCCCCGGCTTAATATATTGTTTTATTTTAAAAATGTCAACTTAGTTGCATAAGCTATGTGTGAAACTAACAGTAAATTATAATTATTTGTATTACTTAAGCAAAATTTTGTACACTCTAAGTACGAGTTGTATGCTATATGTTATAATGTATACAAAGGGCCCACGAATCTATAATAAAAAAAATAACCACTATATAAATAATATTACGCATGTGTAGTATAATTTAATAATAAATAATGCAATTTTATCAATATTTTCTAAATATGAAGAAATATATTTTTATTTTAAAAATACAAGTTTTATTACTTTTTAACATTTTTGTTATGATCTTGCAATAAAATTGATTTGTGAATAAAAATAATTGTCTGACTATAGAAAAATATGTATACTAGAGTACCTATATATATATATATATGTCAGTGGCGGTTTTTGAGAAGCCACAAGAGGGGGGGCAAAAATATTTTAGATGTACTTACAATTCGTATATACAGGTATATCCTATTTATTTTTTCCTATTGCTTGATACACGTGAAGTAATTTGAAGTCGTATAAGCTTTATACCACAATGGTATAAGATAAAAATATAAGTATCAATAAAAAAATTAAAACAAAAATTATTTTTTATTCAAACTTATTGGAACAACAATTTTTGTAAACTGTTTTGACATAAAATTATTGCCAAAGCGATTTTTAGTAATGTTTGCTCATTCATATTTTTAGTTTTTACACTACTCAAGGGGGGGGGGGTTACCTATCGCCTTTCTCACCGTAAAACCGCCATTGATATATGTGTGTACAGTGGCGTATTTTTAAATTTTTTGTGGGGACTTTTAAATTTTTCTAAAAAACAAGTGATACTCGCACGTCAGCCGTACTCCGCGTCCATTATCGTTTCGCAGCGACCAGTTTCGAGCGGGCGGACCGTCGCAAAACATTTAGCAGAACCTTCGTGAAACCTAATCGTTTTAGTCTTTTGCTCCGACTGAATTACGTCGTTGTGATCGATCAGTTTTCGGTAAAACCATGGCAAAGCACATGGATATACCGACTGGTGTCATGTGAATCGGTCACGTTGATCCACACGATCAGACTTCGAAATTGAGTTATCACAGTGGATTGGAGATTTTATAGTGTTCGTACCTACGTTGTCTCCGCTGGTTTCTGCATCCGGCGGCTTGGCTCAGAGCGTGATAGCACCTCCTTCCGAATTTTAAATGAAATATTGAAAAACCGGTGCTTTTACCGTTGTTACCGTCGATTTTAAAATATAAACAGATACGTCATCTTTTTACCTTTGTTTTTCGTTTTTCCCTTCGATTTATTATTGTTTATAAGAAAATCTAAGATTTACAGTGCAATAAGTAGGTTTAATAAACAGTGATTATTAGGAATTGGGAAATTACTCGACGGCGCTATTCTGTCGAATTGTAACTATTTCAGGGGCGTCATTTAAACTTTTGAAAGGGTGGGGCAACTGATTAAATTTGCCAACTTTATAGTATTTAAAAAATTATGGTTTCCTATATATTAAATATTTTATATTTATGGAAGATAGACTTTCAATAAAATATTTTTTCGGAACAAAACATATAAGGATTAGTAATGAATAATGATGTCATGATGATAATGCGCATTGGCGAAGCATCATAGGAGACAGTGAGACAACGTCTACTCACTTTTAATACGGATACATAATTTAATTTTATTATATTTTATTTATTTTTATTTAATATATACTTCAATATTTATCATAGTTTTACTTTTTACCGTACCGCATTAGTATTCTTAAAATAGATTAGTTGCGTACCGCGCACGTGAGCTGTCGTCCGTTGTGGCGTAATGGGTAATTCTATAAACATCTAAATACATATATAAAAATTAATATTATGAGCAGCGTCTCGTTTTTAAAAACACGGTGTGCAGGGAGAATAGGTTATTGAATAGGAATTATCCTTGCGCTATGGAACGTATCTTGTCGTTCGTATTTATTGTTTTATTTTAATATACATTAATGTAATCGTCAATGCTTGTCGCGTTGTTGCGTTATCGTTCGACGCAATTTTGCTATCGTAAGTTATTGGTTGATTTTTATTTTACGATTTATTTATTTTTGGTATGATATTCGTATCGAAATATTAAAATAGACTATTGTCATTTGCCACCATGCCAGACGATTTAATTAATGGCACTTTGAATGATGGAATAGTAAACTAATCATACGAAAAAAAAAAAAAAAGACCGTGTCCCTTTTATCGTACTTACATATAAAGTTATAAATGGAGGGAGGGCTGTAACGTATTTTTTTAACGTCTCCCCGATTTAAAAAAAACTCGTGCTTCGCCACTGATAATGTGAACATGAAACGTTTCAATTTACCCAATTAAATAATAACATTAAGTATAGTAATTTATTTATTTACTTATCCTATAGGATATAAGTTACCTATCAATAGGTTTAATGGAATAATAATAAAAATCTAAATAAATACTTATAATTTTATTATTTGTATATTTGATACTTTACAGAACTTATTTATAAAAATTTAAAATAGTATAATATCTCAAATATAATGTACCGTAGTTTGTTGTGAAAAGGAACGATTTTAACGGTTTTTTATAGATTATGAGCTCAGGCGCGTACTGGGTCCATTTCCCCTACCGGGAAACTGAATATAATTAGGGCCCACTTAATATAAATACCAATAGAAATGAGTTTCATGTATATACCTATCTATAACAATAGCCAGGTTAAATCTGATGCAACTTATTCAACTGATACAAGTATGTGGTATAAATTTTAGTTTTATTTTATGATTTTATCACAAGGTAACTTAAAAATGATTTTAAATCTATGGATACTCACTTTCTTATTGCTAGTTGTGGTTTTTTAATTACCTACTAAGTAGTAAAATATAGGTACAAAATTATCATTTATCCGTGAATTTAAAATCTTTTTAACGTCACTTTACACATAGTAATCATGGTCATATACGGTGACTAGAAATCCAGTTATTTAATGTAATTATTATTTTTGGAAAAATAGAGTAGATACCTACTACCTATATGGTAAGTATAAATAATAAGTACCTATTATTTACATTAATTATTTAACAACACTTATTGTTTTTGAAACTTAACATACTGAAATTTCATAGTGTTAAATCCTACTGTATTTAAATCTTAACACGTAACTTTTTTAATAGACAAAATTTAAATATCTAATAATAAACTTTAAAAATTAAAAATTAAATTAATTTAATAACTAATGGGTCTTATTAATTTGTTCTACCTAATAAATGTGAAATATAAATAAAATATTACTATATTATTATATTCATTAGTGAAATATATATTACACATTAAACTTCTCTACTCTAAAACAAATCGTTCACGATCATTTACAATTAAAGGGGAGTTACATGATATTTTTAAGAAATACATGGATTTATGACCTACAAATGTAACGTCAGATAGATTTTTTTTTAGTTATAAAAACGGTTAATGCATCAAGTAGATTATTCGAAAAAACAAAATTGGAAATATGCCTAAAGAAATTGCAATATATTTGAATTTACTGTATTCCCGAGCTGATACAGGTCGTTTTTTCGGCCGAACTTTAACAACATTACTTACCGATTCTGCTGATGATGTTACAACTAGTGATGGAAATAGTCAAATAAAATAATCGAATGATTTTAATAATCGAAATAAAGGTAACAGATATATTTATCAAAAGCAAATCAATTAAATTATTCGAAAAATTGCGTGTTTTACTCATTTCCTATTGGGTACTAAATTAAGAAGTCAACTATCCATCAGTATTGTATTTTAATTGCTAAAATTAATAAAATTACTGAATTTAACTGAAACTACAGGTACCTATTTGGTAAGGGCCTCAGGTCTTATAATTTTTGAGAGGGCCTACTGAGATTTTTCCAGTATCCCAGTGGGCTATTACGCGTCTGTATGAGCTCAATTTTTATGGTATCGACATCACGAAAACTGTTTTATAAAGATCATATATATAGAAATATATAATATACCAAAAATAAAGTTTATAAGGTTCGCGTAATAATGATTGTGGTAAACTGGGAAGGAGCTAGTGTTTCTCAAATTTGAATAAACCGTGAACGTGTATTTAAAAGAGAATATCATCTGATTTCTGAATACAAAATAGTAAATAAAAATTTACGATTTACCGATTTTAGCATTTGATCATCGAACAAAGAATTACCGACTTTCCGAATTTTATAAATTTCTTAGAGTAGGACATTTGCCATAGCCTACCCCCTCTAAATGACGCCTCTGATCTATTGTTGAAAAATTTTTTTATCTAGTTGAACGTCGAACAAATACAGCGACAATTATTGGCTGCGTCCGGCGTGGCCAGTACCGATTTTAATAATACGTTAACGTATGTAATAAAATCAATGGTACATATCATCACCTATAAACTTTTTAATTCAATAAAAAATACTACGAATCAAACTCATGAGTTGTTTTATTTAAAAATATCAAACGTAAATGTACGGCAGAAACAACAAAATCGAATATTGTTGTTTAGGCGTTAGTTTTGAAAATGACGGTTTTGTTCAACACGAGGGTTGAAATTGGCCATCCACCATAATTTTCTCTAGCCAAATATAATCGTGTTATTTGAAAAAGTTATAATAAAAATATTAGTTTTTTCCTACTGACAATTGAAGTGGATATAATACGCGAAACAATCAGAAAATAAAAAGAGAACCTAGTGATTGTGTTTTTTCGCAAAGATATACTAAGACATTATAATGCGTAATACACGCATAGCAAAATTAATCTTAACTCACAAAATACAATTAATAATTCTATGTATTTAAAATTTTTTTTAACATGATGAGCAAAATATAAATTTATTATGAGGATTCATTTTTAATTCGACACTTATTTTAAAAACATTTTTTTTTTTTTTTGGAAATTTTATTTTTCATCCGATCTCGGTCCGAGTACATTACCGTTCATTGATTTTTATTACTGTCTTTCTCCAATTATTACAATGGAAAAATGTCGGTTCTATGGAAATCAATGCGTTTAGTGGAGTAATTACGAACATTTTTTAAATCAAATTTGATTTAAGCACGGCGTGTCTGCTTGAGAACGATCAATACTTGACTGAGAACCTGAAACATGATTAAATTTTTAAAAGGGGTTTGTTTGATAATCATTATCAAACAGATATGGCATAATATTACATCAAATTAAAATCGGTTTCGAATCGCTTCGATAAAACATCGATATGGTTGTAAAACGATTGTAAAATGTGGTACAAGGTTGCACAATATGCATACTCGTATATTTTAAAAATTTTAACTTGTCCTCTTGAAATCGTATTTTATGCTAAAGGAGATTTGATACCGATACGTATTGTCTTCGTTTTTTATATGTGCAACCATAGGCGTGCGTAGACTTTAAATTTGGGGCATGCCTAAGAAAAAAAAATAACTAATTAGGTTAATGGAGGTGGGAAATCCTCTTAATACACTTCTAAAAGATGCTTGTAACCATTTTGTTGATAATTGCCTTATTTCATTCTTCTTACTAGAAATATTACAACAGAATCTAATGGATAGAGGAAAAATAAAAACAATGTAAATATATTATATCGGAATGTACTTATCGGAATACACATTTATGTTGACCATAGTAACTATAGGATAACATTTTCGGGTAGTGCCCTGTTACATCTGGGATGTTTTATACGCACATCTATGCGTGCAACATAATATAATGGTTATTAAATAGTATATAATATGTGTTATTATTTTATTATACATTATTTAAATATAAATATATAATATTTTATGTTGAAAGATTGAAGCAATAGAGATTCTGAAAACATTCAAATTTAGCTTGAAATCTACTAAAAATTAAGACCATTTGTTTTCTTTATTTCTTTTTTCAACTTGTATATTAATTTAATTTTGATACCATAAAGTTCAGTATGATTTAAAACTTTGGTCTCGTCGATCCCAAGTAAATTTCATACCGATATTGATTCTGTTTTCAGAATCCTCGAGATGGATAAAAAGTGAGTAGTCTTGCTATATTGCACTTGCGAAAGACCAAGACAACATAATCAGTATCAAATTTCCTTAAGAAACGATTATAATTATTACGAAAGAAAAAAAATAAATAACCTAATCAAATGTTTTCTAAAACGCTTGTGTTATTTTAAGATGTTCGTTTTACTGATATGATGAACACCCAATCAGTGGACAACATGCCACCTAGGATAGAGAGAGGTTTTTATATATCGAGGTACGGCAAACGAATTACCAACCCAACTACAGGTAAACATTTTTTACATCCATGGGATAATTATTTACCTTACTTATAACATATCCATTAGAAATAATTAGACGGAATCATTTTAAAAATTGTATAACTGAAATATTTAAATTGCTCCCTAAGTTGAGTTAACGTTGTACATTAATTATTTTTATTTGTAAATTTACAGGTAATACATTTTTAGTTACACTTAGAAACAAAATTTAAAAAAAAAACCACCCAATGAATTTAATATAACGTTGTGTTTATTGTATATACTTCCATAGACTATGATAAGTAAACAAATTAAATAAGAAAGTCAAAATAATCATAGCTTTAAGAAAATTAATACGTGAAGTTAAGAATTTAAGTCATTGCGTAATTAATTATTCAACCAATTAAAAATCGTACCATACTTTGAGTAATTAGCAACAAAATAATAACGACTCACAACATAAAATATAAAAAAATATTATCATAAAAACTAAAATGTGTACACACTCTATTACGTCTTGTATTAACATTTTTGTTTCCGCTTCCAGGCCCTAATTTCAACCCTTGTTTACCGTCCTACGATATGCATTGTGATTTCACGGGTCTACCTAATCTATTTCGTTGCAAAAGGTAAGCTAGTCAATATAACAAATTTATTTAATCGAAACACGTATTATATCCGAGTTAAACTCTTTTGTTCCTACAGGGCCCGTCCCGTGGATTGCTCGACTAAGAATTATGCCGATGAGAAAACTCATTTGAAGGCCGATAACGATTTGTTCGTAAACAATTATTAGTCACTTTCCGGAACAGCCCAGATCAAATATTACTATATACACGTTTAATTGTTGATCTGAATACTATTATTAGTGTTTTAAGCAATTGTAATAAAATTGTTTTGTGAGTCGATATGATTTCATTTTGCTAGAATATTCTATATTGTATTCATTGAATTCGCCGAGCCTTTCTGGTCTTGTAATCGATAAAACCACATAAGGATACAAAATAAAATAATCACAATTAATGTAAGTAAACAAAAAATGTGTCTCTTGTATCACAATCGTGCGCTAACTGTAATACGCCATAAACTTTTAGCGAAAAACGTAATAATGGTTAGCACTTATCACTATAAAAAACAAATACTCGTATATATATATAAATATAACTTAAATTATATTGTATTGGATAATTTATGATTGTTCTGAAATCTAGGTCTGCATTCCTTGCCATTCAAATAAAATTTCACAGGATTACCCATATTAAAATATTCTATAATATATCATATTATATCATTTAATTTTGTAAATATATTTCAAACGATCAAAATTCGTAATTTTTAAAACGTGCATTATTAATTTGTAGCATACGATTGATACGATTGATACGTAGACACGAACATCAAAACGTTTCGTAACATCAAGGTTTGATAATACATTTTAAAATAAGTGTACATTGTCATTTTTAATTTGATATTAAATAAAAACTTTAATGAACAAATAAAATATTTGTAGTTTATTATGAATACAACGCAAATGGATTAATTTAACAGTGTACGAGTAAACAAAGCAGTAAATATCATTACATCAAAATATCACAGAACTTATTATAATCGGAAAAGTTAAAAAATAAAAAATGGCAGCCCAATCAATTATTAACCGAAACATAGTTTTTGTTCCTCCTATGGAATACTATCGAAAATCATTAATGGAGAGAGTCGACGTGGAACGTAAATGTCAATGATAGTATAAGTATTATATTTCGCAAAATTTTTCATACAGATCTTGCTGGAAATATGTCATTATAAAAACCACTGATGCATTCTCATCACTCCGGTCAAAATCTTTATTATTGCTCTAAACATTTATACCCCACATGTATTATTTGAATGCTCGTTACAAAACAAGTTCTAGGTTTAGTTATATATTTTTACCTACCTTACTATTTTTAGCGCATAAATTTAGACATAATTTTAGGCATTACTCATAGTCAATATAACGTAGTTTTTGTATAATAAGTTAACTATATTACTCATGTTTTTTTATAGTAATTTTCTTCAATTAATTAGAAGTTTTTTGATTTTTATAACAAATGATTAATAAATATTGCATATCGTTTGTTAGGTATGGAACAAATAATTAATTAAAATCATTTTCATTATAATGTTTAATTAATTTATATTATATTAGTTAATATTAGAAGTAACTAGTCAAATTTAATATATAATTTTTTTTCGATAATCGTATGAAAAATAAAAAATTAAAACTTAATATATATATAAATTATATAACCAGTGACAGCTAGTCATTCAAACTGCGAATATAATACTATATATTGTTTATATTTACACACATACAATTTAACAATTTCAACTTGTTTCGCTTTGGCGGTTTTGTCATGATATTATTTTGTATGAACACAAGATATCGAAAAATTGAAAGACACTGAAATTGTAAAATAGAGAACAATTTCAGTATACAATATTATATCCTAAAACGTTTCCAGCCAACAAATGTAATCTTAACACAGATTTTTAAACAAAATTGCGTATAATTATATCCATGTCGATAATATAATTTGCGTTTTGCATTAACTAGATTTTAGAATAAAAAATGTATGTTTTGATAATGCGCGGAAAGAGAACGTTAATATAATTAATTATATTATTGTTTTAAAAAATAAAAAATAGTAAATAGTTAATTAATGTAGTTAATTATTGTATCAATTAATTCAAGTTAGACAAGGAGAAAATATGTTAAAATAAAAATAAAAACTTACAAGTTTGAAGTAACAATATGTTACTTATGGTCAATTAGTTTTGAAAAATGTAACACTTTTTTTTTATTTATTTGATAAAGGTTTCAAACATCGAAAGTATGTCCTGAAGTTTAACATTATAAGGCACCTAAGATATTTATTTAAAGTTTGCTAATTTTAGAAATTTTTAACTATTAATATTTTAGGAAAATAAAAAGTGCTGCGTTTAAGCAAAAATTGGTCTGTTTAATATATACTATACTCACGAAAAGAGATATTACAATAAAATATTTCAAAAATATTATATGCTCTATTATTGAATTTTTCTTTTGGAAATAACAAATAACTTATTGATCATGTTAAATGCTTTGAAATATTTGTTTTTAAGGAGAAATTTGAAACAATAATTAGGTCTTTAAGAACAAATTTTTCATTAATCTTTAACCTTGACTAAAAAAAACGAACATAAAATTATATTAAATTGATGTATGTTTTCTCTTAATTATAATAATAATTGTTTATGGATGTTATGATTAACAACTTTATTAAAATTACAACATTAAATATTTTATCTTCAATAATTGAAGATACGATAAACAATTATTATCTATTGAAATCATATGGAAAATACTTCGTGCGACCATTAAATGACTGACTATTCTTGTAATATATTAAATACTAATATAAAAAAAAAAAATATTTTATATTGATTAGATTTCGTACAAAACAGCAAAACAGTACCTACTCGTACAATGTTGATTGCTTGGCAAATACATATTTAATAATTTGTTTTCATAATAACCAAAAGAAGTTATAATTGTTTTCTGCAAAGCAATTTATTAAACGATTAACGCTCTTGAAAATTAAATAACAGATGAAATCACAAAAAAATCGTAAGTATTTTGTTTTACTACTAACACTACTGATGAGTGTTAGGCTTACTAATTTTACATTTGGAATGAATTAAAAATTAAAATTATTTTTTCTTAGATGTAAAAATAAAATTAATGTATGAAACATTTATGTTTGGTGAGACAAACCATTATTATTAGCAGTGTTGGGACTTATTTAGATAAATTTATCTAGATAAATTATCTAGATAGATTTTTTTGTCATCTTTTATCTTATTTAGGTAAATAAACGCTAAGTACTTATCTAAGATAACATTTTTACTTATCTAGATAACTGTCTGTATTCTTTCCAAGATTAGAGTTATTTTTATTCTTGAACAGAGACAAGAGTCCAACAAATCAAAAATCATCAAAATCGGTCCAGCCGTTCTTGAATTATAAATTCTGTAAATAACCTGACTTTCTTTTATAAATAAAGATTTTCTATTCATAATCATATTTGGTGTATTATTAATAAGTAATTATTATTTCTTAGTATGACATTTTGTTTGTATTTTCATGTCGGGAAAATAGTTTTGGTATTTTTAAACATAATTTTTTATTTTTCCATGGAAGTTCCAAATATAGTAGGTATTTGATTTTACTATACACATGTAACTCATACGCTGAATAGTCATTGCTTCACTCTTGGAACCCGTCAAGTCATAATTACTTATAGAATAATGAAAATAATTATATTAATACTATATAGAAAACAATATTGTTGACTTAAAATAATTTTTTATGTATTCTGTATTCATCCTGATGCCTACAGAGAAATTTTAATTTTTTTTTTTTTTTTTTTGTAACATTTTACTGATTAACTATCATTGAATATTGTACATTATATATAAATACTGCTTAATGGTACACTACATTACTATAATAAACATTAAATACCTACCAATAGGTACTATTATGTACCTATTGATAATAATGATTATAATTGAGTCTTCATATATGAAATATTGACCAAAAAATAACATTTTTGAAAGTATCTTTTTTTTTTATCTAGATAAATTTTGCATTATCTATTCCCAACACTGATAATTAGTATGCTTCAAACAAAAGTGTATAGATATTAACAGTACATCTGCAAGTTGTTCACAATATTTGTTACGTACCCGAATCATTTACATTTGATATTTGCATTATTTAATAATTATTTTATTTTATCAGTTAACTATTAAACAAATATTATAATTTAACGATGATTATAGCAATACCTAACTCACATAAAATACGTGACGCAGTAGTTAACTAATAAAAAATAATAATAATTAATACCAGCCGGTGAGCAATCTTTGGTAGTATTTATAATCAATGGTATATTAATGATTCAGCCGATGTTTAAGGAATAAGTTTTTTTATTTTTTTTTTTTTTTTTGCTCGATTTCTATTGGTTTGTAGACAAAAAAGATTTATTATTAACCGTTTACGCATACGTCCGAAAAAATGCTTTTATCACGTAGATATCACGTCGCATCTGTTGTCGTCATGCACACATGAAGCATATCTAATATCTCAGTTGTGTATATTTTACCAACTTGATAGTTGTGTAACTAAGTAGTTCGTAACGAATAATTTGTTAAACCATCCAGTGTGGTTAACGTTATATTACTCTTCGTGTATTTCCCGATATGATTTCGAGCCGTAACGTTTAGAAATGTGCATAATTCGAGTATATTATAATATACCAGTCATTTTATATACGCAGTTACTTGAATAGTTTGTATTAACGATCAGTTTAACCTATCAAATGTCTCGCGTATTTTTTCAAAACCGTTGTGGGCTATGCAAGAATGCTTTTCATAACGTTAAACGTTTTTTACGGGTAACGGACAGAATACAATACATATGCAAATCGTAGAAATGATTCATACTTAAAGGAATTAAATTGTTAACCTCATAACATGAATATTAAGATTTTCACTTAAAGCGACGAGTCTATAAAATATTTCTCATTAATGTACTCACCGTCGAACCTGTGTGCTAGTCGGCTTATACCGACTAAAAGTTACAGACGGTAATTCAAACCACTTATTTAATTACACATATATACATTTCATTTTTTTTTTTTGCTTTTATCCAAAACAACTAGCTTTTTATTAACAATTACATTTTTAAGATATTAAAGAATGTATTCTTATTTGACTAATAATCTTTGCTTTATAGCCAATCATTTTTTCTTTAAATCAAAAAATGTAATATTTGCAATAATACGTGTCTGATCCACATTGACATTTTTCATTGGACCAAACACAAATCAAATAATGATTGATTTTTTTCCTATCTGCATTTAATCACCAAACTTTTCAATTTAGCTTATTGAGTACAGAAATCGCCCAGTTCATTATAACAAAATCTGAATGGATAAATGACTCCAAGTTTAGCTATATCCCTTTCAATTTCTGCTAACAAATCCATTTTTGATTAATATTTGATAAACCTAGTAAAAGTAAATAATGTGTTTTTCTTCCACGCTCTGGCACTGGCGAAGTGAATTAAAACACTAAGAGCATTAGCTTTTAGATAATTAATATGAAAAAAAATTGAAAAAAAATTAACTTAGCATTATCTAGCTTTTGTAGTTGAACTAAAATAATAATTAAAACAAAAAAAAAAAAAACAATTTCAACCTGCATACGAATTTTGAACTTGACAGCGCCTTGTAATATATTAGTAAAAATCCGAATCTTGTAATTAAATATAATTACATCAAAGCTAATGAGTAAATTTCATAAGACGCACCGTTTAAAAAATTTTAACTTATTAAAACGATCAATTCAGTATTCACACGAATTTCGAGTTAAAAACGAAAATTGATATTACACGATTGTGCAAGTAGATAAATATTTACTCATGACATTCTTTTGTGCTTACTGTTATTTTTTTCGTATTTATTTAATAATTCTGATAGGAGACTAAACATCAGAAGATAATAGCCACTATAAAGGACATCGGATTCCTAAATCGGAAACATATACTATATAATGGCGATTTCATTTCGTTCACTGAGTTTTTGATTGGCAAATGTTATATATATATACTGTATTCAATTAACAATGGTATAACAGTGGTAATGAAAGTCACGTCAGAAAAAAGGACATAATAATGAATACAGATTTAAAATGATATGTTTCTTTATCACAAAACGCGTGCAGATAACTCAAATAATTGATTTTTGAGTATAATTAAATTAATGGTTAAATCGAGTTTATAGGCACGGCGTCAAGGGAGGGCAATAGGGGCTCTAAATCAAAAAA